AGGCTCAGAGATGTAGACTATGATTAGTATGAATGACACTGCCAGGTTTACTTGATCAGGTCTGGCTGCAGGTTAACTAATGCAGCACAGACCTTGACAATATCATCTGCTGCTGATATCAATGTTATGGGAAATGTACCCCCCAGGATTTTGAAGTCCTTAAGTCTATTGATTGCCCGTTCCACATTGGAATTTCCCAAGTTAGCCACTTTCTTGTTTTCCCTACTTTGTCCCTAGTCATCTGACGATTCCCCTGTGCAGCAGGTGGAATTTCCGAAGTAGCATGTCTAAGCTAAAAGGTCTTCCTGTAGGTCATCTTCCTAGCATGTGGCTCTAGGTACTGATACATGTCATTAAATGCCTGTTTTGACCTTAATCCTATACAATGATTTACATCATTGTCAGTCTTCAGACTGTCAGCAGTAAACATCTGTTTCTTTCCACATGATTTTTTTCAGAGACCTTCTGTTGAGTTTTAAGCGAGATGACTTCCTGCTCTAGTTCTTCCACCCTATGTTCCAGTGTGTTTATCTGTATTTGCTTACTTATACAGTACTGTACTAGTTATACAGCCCTGACAGTCACATTCTTATCTGCAGTCACATTTGTAAGTGTACCTGTGGTCATGCTCTGTCTTTTCCACCGGAGTCATTACAACATCATCTTCATCAATACTAGTACATGTACGTGGCTTCTTTTTTGGGGGGTCAGGAACCGCAACACGTTTTGATGGAGGTGGTCGCTTTGGCGTTACCTTCTGGTCAGATGAAGGCCCTGTGTAGCCGAGATGTAGGACGGGGTCAGGATGTGCTGCTGTGGGTTTGCCATCTATAAAGTGTTGAGAACAAACCCTATCATGTGGCTTGTTAACCCAGTTTTTATTGCTAACCGAGTCTTTCTTGTTTATTAGTTTGTTCCACCGTCTTCTGGCATCGGGTCTTTTGTTCTCAGTAGGGAATGGGAATAGTTTGAACGGTGGGGGCAGTCGCAGCAGCCAAGTTTGGTACCATGTTTTTTGGCATGTCCATTTGTCTAGATGGTATGTTGAATTGCTGTAATTCACTACTGCACACAGCTTCATGATGGACAGTAACACTGTAAAAAGAAGAAGAGAGGAAAATTGAACAAAAAGTGATACTACATGGATTTAAGTTCAAAACATTTGTCTTGACTGCACTAGCATAATTTTTGCATGCATAAAACCCTACCCCACCACCATGTATCCTAGTATTCCTACTACGAAAACCACACTAAATATTTACTAAAATTATTGGTGCACTCACTGCATGTGCTATTCATTCATGGTTATTATCGTGAGGTTAGAAAGCTTTATGTGCTTGCGGTGACACGAGACAAAGACGTGCCACGCATATCGGCCTGTTGTGCAGACAAAAGCCAATGCTATTTATCGAAATTTTTACTGTCCAAACCATATGCCAGTAAAAGATTCCACACTATTTTACCCATATAACCACTCTAAAAATAAAATAGATGTTCCAAAACTCGTTTTATCGAGATTGGTCAGGAAAATTGAGCAGAAAACATGAGGGGAGGGGGGCATGCAGGCGGTAGCGCTAGCTTGCATATCGTCAAAAAAACCTACCGTAAATCCCCTTGAAGAGAAAGATATCACGATATTTTCGGCAAACTAGGTCCAGAACATCGTTGGAACTCAGCCCAAGGCGGGTCACCACCGGTAACGCCGTGTGTAAGCTGGAAATTCAGACATGATGGTGCTTGGCACAAGGGCGTCCGCGGTTCTGTTTATCTCTCTGTTTATCTCCAATTTCTGGATCGAACGTGAAATTCGCGCAGGCGCACTAGTAATTGCGAAAGGGCTTAAAAAAAAGAATAAGATCGTTTTCACCGAACGTTCGAAAACTCATACGTCACGCATCGCCGCCATCTTGGATGATAACCTGGCAAAATAGAACATAACAAAGATAGCACTATCAACGGGTCCAAGTGCGCGCTTTGCCTTAGTCGCCGTATTATGAGTCTTTAACTTAAGTGAGGTTGCGAAAGCTAGGTACGAGGACAAAGTCGCCATAATAGGTTTCGACCCCCACTCTCTGGAAAAATCGGCGTTTCAGACCGATTTTGCGCTAGTGCCGATGGTGGGAGTACCCAGACAGTACTATCAACATCGTGGGTCACCAAGGAATGAATGCATATACGTCCATGGAGGCCTATAATTTCTTTGTCTCCGGCTGGGTGGACATCCTGTATACGAGGACGATTAGTCCAGACAAGATCCAGTTGTTTCAGCACGGGTAAGTTCACTCGGGGATATCCCCTTGCGATTCCCTTCGTACATTTTGTAACCTTACACCATCAATTGCCACACATAACGCACGCTTTAAGTTAACGTAAAAGCCCGCTTCAAGCGGTGACCGAGTCTACCCTGGGTCCCAGATCATATCGTTGGGGACTCACAACGTCCTTTTCTTGTAATCGAGAAAAAGTAAAGGGGCAATTTCCATCCTGTCTGACGTCCATAGACTTTTGCAGTCAGCTACTGTTGTAGTGTTAGATTATAAGGGACGGCGCGGCGAGCAGGCCGACTACTATACAGTGTGCTCCTGCGACTCGCACGTAGGTCTTACAAACTTCTAGTCCGTTTCTGAATAAAACTTCCTTCTACGAGTCGATCACATGTAGACTTTGACGAACTTGGGCAGGAATAAACAGTGAGAAAAGTTTGTAAAAATGGTATGGAGACGGAACCTTGATAACGTGGGGGTCCCGGGTCGTCATAACTCAATTTGGTGTTTGTAATCCTTGATCGAGTGGGTCCTACGGCATGTCCGGGGATCACAGGTGTCTCTATCACGTCTATGACTGTTGTCCTATCGCTACAGATGCCAATTAGACCCGGATGGCTTGCATTCTTTGACGATTAAGCCGACGAAAATCGTTAAGCAAACAAACGCCTGCTAGTGCTACTGGAACAATATATGCTGACATCAGTGTGATATACAATTTCATGTGTGCAGTCCCTTCGTTTTTCAGGCGACCGTCTAACAATCTTCCTGTTTCTTCGTTGTTTGTTTCCATAGGTGAAGCACTCACTGACTCACAACAAACAACTGTGACTGTCATGCAGGGCCAGGTTCTTGTTCTTCTCGGGTCACCAGTCACTGCTAAACTAAAAAATCAAGAACCTACACCCAAGATAGAAGCCAATGGACAGTACCAACATACTGAGGCAAACCATTATAAATGTATTTCATAAAACATACATGCTTGCTTATATGTCTTCATTATTAAGTACATTGCTGTGGTTTACCAGAAATGTTGATACAATAGATACATGCACCATCAATTATACTGCGAGAATGATGCAAACCATTCTACATAATTGTATATTTCACTAAGCATGTGATTTTGTAAATTGTAATATGCATTCTATGTATGTCTAATAATTTTCATCTTCCCCTCAGGGTGTCCCTTAGTAAGCCAAAAAGCAGTTACTCAAGCAACTGGATATGATTTTGAAAACGTCAGACGTTTCAGCTAGTATCCACTAGCTTTCGTCAGTGACTGAGAGACCAGAGGGGAAAATAGGTTTATAAGCACAACCTGTTGATCGATATGCAAATAAAGTGAAGACAAATTTTTGGAAGTCGAAAAAGGAACAAAAGTTAGACAAGTCAAGACAAGATGATGCAAATTAGTCTGAAAGCTCCTGTTATACAGAACAGGAGCTTAAGTGTCCCTTAGTAATAGTCTTTGACTAGTTGGGACACCCTGGCCTCTTTGTAAGCCAAATGAATAAATAAATAAACCATTCTACATGTACTTCAAAACATGCATGCATTGCTTGTATGTCATTATTATATAATAGTGTACAAGTAAAGTATTACAATTCCCAGAAAATGTTGATGCATGTACCATCAATTATACTGTGATAAAATGATGATACAAACCATTATACATGAACTTCAAACATACATGCTTGTATGTCATTATTATATAAATTGTTACAGATCCTTGATGATTGTGCAGTACTAATAATACTGTACAAGCAAGGATCTTTAACCTCCTTGGTACAAGTAAAGTATTGCAATGACCAGAAATGTTGATACAATAGATACATGCAGCATCAAATATACTGTGATGATAATACAAACCATTATACAATGTCATGTACTTCACAACATGCATGCTTGTATGTCATTACATGTATCATATAATGCTGTACATTCAAGTAGGAAGCTTTAACCTTCTTGGTACAAGCAAAGTATTGCAATGCCCAGAAATGTTGACACAATAGATACATTTTACAGGTAGCATCCATTATACATAGAATAAAAAAAACTGAGATTGTTATTAATTGCAGTTATCCATCTGTCAAAAATTCAACATGCAGTGGACAAAGAGATCTTGAAGAGAGATAGGAAGCCTGAGCCTCATTAAAACTAAAATGAACTGTTGAAAGGGCGAGATTCCATTCTGTGATGTACACTTAATTAACATGAGACACAACAACATTCAAAACATCCATCAATATGAGAAAGTTGTTTAAACCAGTATAAAATCTGACCTTATCATCCCCACCCCCTATTACTAAAACTGTTCTTATATATCTGGAGTCCTAGGAGCTGTGTCTTTAAGTTGTTTTGTTGTTCGGAGAGATACTGGACTGTGCCCTGCATCATGTCAATATCTGCTCCAGTCAAGTCTGTCTGACATCCTGCATCACACTTTGTTGCTATGTCTACCAGCTTAAAATGAAATAAATCAATACTTCTCATTACATATTGTAAATGCATTTTACAGAACCATTTTTCTTGTCAAAAAAGATCACAATAAGTAATTAACTGTTCCAATTTTCATCAATAAAACATTACTACGTTTTGTTCAAAATATCAGGGGCATACTTGAATAATCTTCCTCAATCTTCATCTGCTTGTTATGCTAAGGGTAATGTCCACTTTGTTGTGCCCAAGGTTCTCAGTTGGGGCCCAGTCAGTTTCTGTGGGTGAATACAAACTGGCCGGTTTCCCTGAAAGAGTGAAATGAAGTGAGATTATTAGTAGTAGAAAATCACTACTAAGTCAAGTGTTTTCTTACTATTTCAAAGGATGTTCCTGCCAATACGAATTGTTCTTTGCACTATTGACAGGTTTCTTTGATAATCCTGTGATTAACATGATCCTGTCAACTCTTACCCTCATACTGTATAACCCAGAGGTTGGTCCTGTAAAGTTGTGAAAAACAAAACCATATTGACACCTTCAACTAAGAATAATTCGAAAAAAAAGTGAAAGCACGTTTACAAAAGAAAAAAATATCAGCAGGGGATCGAACCTGCAGCCGAAGCCCGCAGTGGCTAATAGACGTCTGCTCTACCAACTGAGCCATCGGAGCAATTGAACTATGGGAAGTATATATTGGTTCAAAGCAATTCCCGTGCTTCCAGCATATCAACAGCCACACATCAAAACAGCAATTTTGCAGGGTTTATACAAAAAACGCAACAAATTATTATCTGACATACTTTGTGTAACAGAAATACAAGAACAACAGGAACTTGTTGTGTACGTAAATATAATTATGACCGCGAAGACTCTACAGCTAGCAGCACCAAAAACACCCGGGACCGGGAAAGATGGCAGGCGGGCAAAAACAGCACATGAGCCGCCGAGCTCCGCGAATGAGCCCACTAATGCCGTAAACAAAAAATGAGTACATTGTACCAGGAAAAAAGGGGAACTTATTCATTAGAAATATTATTCTCTTCCACGACTTACCTGGATTGAAATGTTGGCTACATCTTGAGAGTATGCGCACTTTGTCGGCGTCAGGTTGGCTCTGTTGATGTTCAGCAGCCATTCGTCTTTCCTCAAAAAAATACTCTCGTTTTTTCCCCTTGAGCTTCTTTTGGAATCCCGTATAAGTTATACCCTTTGTCCCTTTCATTGTTATGACCACAGCCATATACAGCATGGAGGACTGGTATTATGTGGAGAAAACTGGCGCTAGGTAGAGAAAATGCTGTTTTTGATCCACCTGTAGTGCCAGACGTAACAACGCCGTTGAAGGGTGATGCAGGACGTCAGATTGGACAGAACTAACTGAAGAAGACATTGACACGATGCAGTGCACGATCCAGTATTTCTCCGAACAACAGGACAACTAGATGACACGGTTCCTAGCGCCGAGAAATGAAACATCTCCCGTCCCGATGAACGCACAGCTGATGTGGCTCGAATATCGCAACATATCATCCAAGATGGCCGCCGGAACATTCGAACGCGTTTGTGACGTCACGTGAAAACGAAGAATACCATGTTCTTTTTATTGTTATACATCACTTGACAAAAATGATTGTAATCACTATGTACTGCAGTTTCATTCATAGCTATAGATGACCAGATGTATTCTACATCTGTACACATCTATTTTTCCTGAATTGTAACATGTTTTTGATCTTGTACATCACCTGAGAAACAATGATACTGCAATCAAAATGCACTTAAGTTTACTCTTCAAAAAGGAACAAAGTTGAATTCGGATTCTACAAATCCATAAGGTACAAACCAACCAACAGAAACAGAAATAAAACATGGTGTAAAAGGCACTTAGTTTTGCTCTTGAAAATATTTACAAAGTTGAATTCAGATTCTACAGATCCATGGGGTACAAACCAACCAACAGAAACAAAACATGGTCTAAGAGGCACTTAGTTTTGCTCTTGAAAATCTTTACAAAGTTGAATACAGAGTCTAGGTAAGGTACAAACTAACCATCATAGTTGAAAAACAGAAATAAAGCATGGTCTAAAAGGCACTTAGTTTA